AAAAAAACACCAGGGTAGGTGAAAATTGGGCTAACGTAGAGTTTACATGGCAAATAAAGTTACAGGTTGTTATATCCTGACTGCACAAGCACATTCAAGGAAATTTAACTCATTGCATCACATAATGTAGGGGCTCACTAGACAGTAATTTACAATGTTTACAGCCAAAATTTCCAACAGACCAACAAAATATCCTTCAAGAATTAAAACTCACGCATCCAAGGCTAAATTTATGAACTTATCGTAATAGGACTCTGCCTTTAAAACAAAACAATTTTTACAGGAACATCAACAAATAAAATATCAGTAACGATCCTTTCTTTGCCTCAAAAAAGTAGCCTGGCTACTTCATGTTTTTGAGCCAATGGTCAAAAATCAGTTCTTACCTCAAGGAGGTGAGGAGAATATTTTCACTGTTGATACATGAAAATTGGAACTTATTTCATTGCTGGTATCAATCATGAAGAAAACAATGAATTTAAAAAAAATCAAATAACAATGCTGAGCTGAGCAGCTCTTGGTTCAACATATCACTGAACAGTGCTTATACATGACACCCACACATTTATTGCTATGCCCCTTATAGCCTCTTTCTTTAAAAAAAACAACACAAGAATTGGGTTCTAAATTTAACCACTGTCATGTCACATGTTTCGGTAGAAATAAATGCAAACTGACAATTCAAAATAATGTTTCTTGACCTACTTCAGTCACTGGAGAAATGCTAGCTTTTAAGTTAACGAGTCTCCACCTTTCTTAACACCCAATCAATAACAGAAAATAAACAAATTTACAAATTATTTGGCACCTAATTAGTCTTTAAGAGACAAAATAAAACAAGGTATAACATGAAGTCTCTCTGGCTGGGATATGCCATTTAAAAACAACAAAACAATAAACAAAATCAAAGAACTGAGACTTGTTACTATATCACCCTTAAGGCAGGACACTTATTTTGTACCACCCAAAATATTTTCAGTGGCACAGAACATTACATTTAACAATAAATTTTGTTTATAAGGTATTGAGCTACCACCCAAGACTTTGAAAAGAACGACCATGACTACATTGTGACAATCCAGTCATATGCATATGTTTTTCTCAAGAGTCCATGACAATGTAAAACAAATTATGTTCATAGGTTGAGGTACAAACTACCAGTGAAAATTGTTCAGAAGATTTCAGAACATAGTTTTCTGAAATACAGTGATATGGTTGAGATCAAAATGCCAGTGGGACACACACAAATGCCTAAGCCAAGTTTTGACACAATAATGAATTAAAAACATTGAGGAATATACAACTACTAATTTAAAGCTATCACACAAATTGCAAACAACTGATGGACTTGAAAAATATTTATAGGCAGTATTGAAGATCCATGAGAGAATAGCAGCCTCATGGCACAACATATCCCAAGACAAGAAATTTAACTCAGAGAAAAGTTTACTGAGCAAGGATTTAACCATACATGGTAAATGATACACAAGGACTAGGTAATGTATTTGAAAAGTGACAGCAGGATCACATTTCCACTTTGTACAAAGTTAGAAACTTAACACAGAGCATAACACTGCTTTAATTTGGAGTGATAAGAAATCAGATCACTCATTCTTACAAATATTCAAACAATATCAGACAAATGCCATAAATAAATGATGAAATAGGACAGCCCATTATACTAGGCATCAATGAACGTCTGGATGACTGAAATGATGAATTAATTAATGATAAATAAGAGGATATTTCCTCTCACTCTAAGTTATGAAATATATAATCTAAACATCACAATTTCAGTAATCATTTTACGCAGGGAAGCATTGTTCTGAGTGTTCATCCCATGCTGCGATCTGAAAAACAAGGTTTTAGTTGCAGAAACATTCGCACTAGTAGTTCAAAGTTGTCCATCAGAATAATATAAACTCTACAGACCTGGCACTCTCGACTGCAATACCATTGTCTTTGACATCCAGCGCACACAAATTCAGCGTCTCTCTCATTGCAGCCTTGACAATGAGGGACTGCATTTTTAGATCGATCAAGTCTTCCATCCGTTTCAGGGCTCTCTCCATTTTCCATATTGTCGCCTTCATCTATCACCAAGCGGCGCTCATCAGAATCAGTGTCAACATCGCCTTCATCACCGCCATCCTCTCCATCCTACAGAAAAATTTTGATAAAGAAAATTTCAAATGAAAAGAAAATTAGGAGAAAAAAGGTTAATGAATAGATATGGCACTCACAAGAACAACAACATTATTTCTTTTCAGTCTAATATTTGAAGATGAATTTTGAAGGGCATAAGAAGCAGCAGCAGAAGCTGATACTGGTGTGATAGTTAGCTCACTTCGTGCCTGTGTGCAACAAGATATTGATATTAATAAAAACAGTAATATTTATCAACAAAGTAATGAATATGAGTTAATGTAGTAAGATTCAAACCTTTTTGGAGGATCCACCAGATAAAAGATCACTAAGTAGCACAGGACCTGCTGTGCCATAGCTAGATGCAGTTGGAGTTTGATAATGAGGCAAAACAGAAGCTGAGCTATTGTGGTGTGCAGATGATGAACTTCTCTCTGGGGCAGTTAAGAGGCGAGCAAGAGTTGGGGAAAATGTTGCAGGTTTGGCATGGGATTGGCTGCCGCTACCGGAGGATTGGGTATTAGGTTTTGTTAGGATGCCATGAAGCAAGGATGATGTAGGAGTGCTTGTCGCTGGCACTGGACTAGGAACAGATGCGGTTGCCACGACAGGATGGAGGGTGACTTCGGGATATGGAGGAGGTGGAGGTCTTGCAAGCAGGGCAGATTGATTGCTAAGAGAGTTGTGGTCATTTGCATTTGTCATCTTAGCAAACTGCACCAACACATCTTTAAAGCTCATACCAGAGCCTGTTTCTGGGTTAATCTGAAATTAAAGAAAATATTAAATGCTTTAAAGAAAACATCTTCTGATGTCCAACAAATTGACTCGAGTAACGTCCAAAATGAGGTAAATCACTTCTCCAAAAGTACCTGAGATGGAGCTCCACTCAAGGAGGATTCAGTGCTAGATGGTCGAGATGGACCATCACTTCCAGCCCCAGAGCTCAAGACAAACCCAAGCTCTGATAAATCAACAGGAGCACCACCATGTAGTGAGCCGCTAGATCCAGTCCTTACATGGGCACCCGAACCGAGAGCGGGCAAAGACATGCTGAGCAAACCACCCCCACTGCTACTACCTGGCCTGGCACCAGCCAGAATGCTGTCAGAGACCTGTGAAAGAAAGAGAAATACATAAATTTTTACCTCCTTGTTTAAAACACAAGAAAATAACTGCATTTTAATTTTAACAAAAGGGAAATTCCATGACAGTTCCCAGGTTACTCTACCTGCAAAGTTTTCTTAAGCCACTAAAACTACTACTGCTTTAAAGTTAAACAATATTATGAGGGATATGATGAATGTTAGAGTTCAATGCACAGGCATCTCATGCAGGCAATACCTTTCATGATGGTCCACCTTTGAGAGCAAGAAAACCATGCTTATAACTGAGCAAGCTATACATACCAGTGCTTCTGCTTGAAACTTCAGATGTAAGAGCAACACAAAAAGTTTAATTTAAATTTAAGGTCTTAGTTAGGGAAAAACTGTGTGAGGGAAAGGCCTTCAAGTGTGCTTTTAGCTACTTATGTAAAAGACTAGTGATTTATGCACAGAGCTGTTGTACCATTTCCATAGACAGATATTGAAGACATTTATCTAGGTAATTAATACAATGATTGAGGGAGTCTATTGAAAAACAGTGCAAGAAATCAAATAAATCTCACCATATACCCATATCAGGTTCTTTCTGAAGAGATCTCAACAGTAATATTGGAATAAAATACAAAAATGGAGCAAAAAAGGGATACTTTGAACACTAAGACAAAACAAACATTTTAAGGTGCTGTGCAAGCAATTCTGATGAGAAGACAAAGCACACAGGCCTACTCACCATGCCTGATGATTTCATCCGTCGGCCACGCCTGGGGACATTCTCCGGATGTTGGGAACGATAATCAGCGATGATGGACTGGACGTCAATGATGGGACCCTGACGACCCTCACCGATGATGCCTTTCCCACTGCCATCAGGTGAAGAATCACTTACCACGTGACCCCCACTGGTAGCAGTGCTGGGCTTAGGCAGAATGGGTCTCTGTATCCTTGAAGCAGTGGCAGCATTCAGCTGCTTCTCAGCACGGGATAAGTTCTGGAAATACAAAACAATTACATGTGATTAAAATAGAAAAGATGCAGGAACATTTAGGTTTTTAAAAAATTGTGAGGAGAAAGCACCTTGTGAACCGCAGCTGAGGGTAGAGAAGCATTGAGGGCTGAAGAAGTGCTAGTGGGTGTGGATATAGCAGATAGTGATACAGAGGGAGAGAGTCGACATGCTGAACCAGTGCTGCTGACCGCACCCATTAGAACTCGCTGTAAACATAAATAAAGTAAGAAGATTTTAGATGCAGAAAATTATTTTATGTTTCCTCAATTTTGCAGGTGTAGGTGATCTAAGCCATCACTAGTGGGGGTCTTTAAACAAGTTTTGAAAAGATTCCTGCATGAAAGTATTTCATCATCACTGATGTACTTCCATATGCATGTCAAACACAAACATTTTTATAGAGACATTCAAAAATATCAGTTGATTGACTGGACCGAAGGGGGAGTGCGGTCAATAATGCCGATGCCAAGTGGTAACCCTGCTTTACTGATGAAACAACCAAATATTTCCATCACCAAAAAGGAAAGGTGATCAAATATAAAGAAAATAATTGCTAGCATGTCTTCAATATCCCTAAAATTTATGGATCGGATCAGCGCATAACACATCCAATAAAACATGCCAAACACCAATGAAAGGGGTAGAGCAGCCAGCCAGCCAGCCAACAATTCTCAGAGTGGAGATGACCAATATCATATTTGAAAGACACCTCTCAAATACGTGAATGAACTAGCAGCACAGCAGTCCCAATATGACTTAAATATCATACAGTTGATGCCAAGCAAACAGGAGAAAGCAATAGGTTAATAATGATTGGTTCAGGGTTATATTAATGGAGAAAGCAACAAAAAAATCAATGTTATCCATCTTGTCACAGAATGATAAGGCATTCAAGGTAAAAAAAAAGGCCAGCGCCAACCTGTCGCTGCAAATGCTGCAACAAAAACTGCGACTGGGATGAGCTGGGTGGGATTTCAGTCGGCTTAGTTAGCTGGGACTGAAGTAATGACGGGGTCTGCATGTGTGATAATCCTGGTAGAGGTCCACTTGACTTTCTTTCTGTGAGGAGCTCATTAGCTCTTGCTTGGATGCGTACCGCCAAAGGTGATGAGCTGCTATTGCGATGATGATAATCTTCAACATTTCTTGATCCTAATCGAAGGGCCGCCGCTAACAACTCCTCTCCTGTTTTTGATGTCACCTCACGATAAGAATCTTGCCGTCTCTCGATCCTTGAGTCCAGGTGTGAGTCCCGTTTGCTTTCTGCACGAGACTCATCCTCATAGGAGTTTCTCCTCACTAAATCCTCCTCCATATCTCCAGTTAATGTTAGCACCTGTAATGTTGAGTACCAATAATGAGCTTTCTGTAAATACAATATTGAAAGAAATCAATTTACACCACACAAAACTTTTACCTGTTTTCTACGTCGAACTCTGAGAGCCAATTCCTCTTTCATTTTCTTTTTTCTAATCAAGTCATTCCACTCTGCTTCTTTTGCATTAATTTCAACAGTCAACTGCCTTATTTCAGCTTCAAGGGAAGATGATACTCTATCTAACTCAGTAATCCCACCATTTTGAGTAGCAGCTTCTACAAAATCAGTCATTAGTGTGTCCCTCTCTGGCTCAAGTAAGTCTCGCAACAGGCTATTTTCTTCTTTAGCAGCTCTTTCTCTTTCTTTGTACGAGCTCCTCACCCGAGTTCTCATCTCTCGAAGTACTTGATCCCTATCCAAGACGCGTGTTGCATTACTCTCACCGGTCCTTCTCTGGTAATTTGACGGTCTAGAATCCTTTTCTTCCCGTGATGAACGCCTTCGAGACGTCTTAAGTGGTACAGACTCTCCCAGTCTTAAGGCAGAATCATCACTCCTATACACCTCTTTCTTTGATTTTTCCAAATCAGTAAAGCCTTGCAATTTGCTTAGTAGAAGGGACTGAGGTTTGAGGGCTATCTTTGGCTCTTTAATATCTTTCTTCTTAATTCCACTCAAGTCAAGGGCATTGGCATCCCCACAGACAATATCGGGTAAACACTGCTTTTTTGCCTGATTTTCAGATAAATCTTCACCACTTGACCTTTTCTGTAATCAAATTGAATAAAAATACACATATAATTAGAATTGCAAGAAATAGTGATGTTGGAAAGGGTGTACGGAAGACTGCAAATTACCTGAGTAATTTTTCTTGATGGCTGCTGCTCAGATACTATACCAGAGTCTGTAGACTTTTCTTGATCTTCAATGACCTTAGCAAAAGAAACAACAACTTATTAACTCTATGTAAAGGGACGACTGATAAAGAAACCCTGAAAAATGCGTGGCCTTACCTCGGCTTTGACATCTGTAGAGGGTAGGTCAACATCCATCCTAAAATCTTCACTGCCTCCACTAACATTGTCTCGAGTGGAAGTTTCACTCTCTGAGCTGCCACAAGCTTCTTCATCTTGATGAGCATCATTTTCTAAACCCATCTCTTTCTGAACATCACTCAAATTGGGTATCTCTCCACTGTTGCCCAGACTTTCCAACTCAACCTTCACACTCACATCACCATTGATGATATTTTTGCACAGGACTGATTCACTAGGCTTTTCTACACAGTCCTTGGAAATCTCATTCAAAACTTCATCTTCATTTCTGATCTCTTCATCAGATTTTTCCTTAGATTCGTCTGTTGGCTTCCCACAAGCTTCAGCTTCGTCCACATCATCAATGGCACTGTTACTGTCATCTATCGGGGTGAGGTTGTCTGAAACTGAACAAATTACAATGAATTAGAAATTTGAATAGGTAAATACCACAGGATAGGAGGTTATACCACATGTTTAATAACAGAAGATAATCATGTATCGACTGACAGATCTTGGCATCAAATAGAATCAAAAGGAAACTGAACAGTCCATAACAGGACGAGTTAGTTTAACTTAATTCGATAGCTAAAATTGAAGAGAACAAGGACTCGTTAAGTGCAACTTACGATACGTCTGACTGTCACGGTCATAAAAATCATCATCGCGCGAAATGTATTCACGGATTACATCAACGACTATAGCCCTATACTGCAATAGAAGTCGCAAATACTGAAATCCAGCCGAGCGTTCCGACAATGACATTTTCCATAGACGGCTCTGTTTTGCTGCTTGCAAGCAGAAGGAAAGGGAGGAGGCGCGCCGTGCCTACTGACAGGGGGGGGGGGATAGCCTAGTGATCTGTGTTTGTCTAAGTCATCCACAATACGCCAATAAAGCATTCCGGAAAAGCTGAAATGCAGAAGAATGTAGAGAAGAAGAAAACTGAAATCGCTATGCTTTCACATGGTGACTTGTGTTTTCTTGTTCTCGGCATTCTTCTGCATTTCAGCTTTACCAAGTGCTTCATTGGTTAAAAAAAATATTTTTTAAAAACACACCAAAAACACGATCTTACCTTCGTCGAGTGTTGCTTGTTCTTCGGGTTTCTCTTCTTCATCTTTGACGGCATCGATAGCTTCAGTATTGGCGGTTTCGACCTCGGGTGAGGCGTCGTCGGTGACGGTCGGCGAGGCCACCACCGTCTCCGCGGGCGCTTCTTCCTTGGTAGCGGAAGCGTCGGCGTCACCGTCATCAGCGCCGTGGTCCGAGGATGGCGTAGCAGGCGCCGCTGGAGGGGAGGCCTCCGCTGGAGAAGCTTCCTCTGCGGGGAAGGCCGAAGCTAGAGGGAAGGCCTCTTCTGGAGCGGAAGCCACCGCTGGAGGGGAAGCCGCTGGCGGAGGGGAAGACACTGCTGGAGGGGAAGCTTCCTTCTTATCTAACGGAGGCGAGGCCGGCGGAGGTGGGGCCACTGGCGACGAGGGGGCGGATGTCGAGGCCGCGGGGGACGCCGCAGGCGGCGACACGGGCGGCGACGGCTGTCCGGGGGTGGCGTCGCCCGCCGCTGCCGGCGACACGGAGGCGGTGTCCTTAGAGGCCGCCGGTGGCGAGGGCGCGCCGTTCTCCAGGAGGGCGGTGCTCACCCCGTTGAGGTGGGGGTGGCCGTCGTCCAAGCCCTCCGTCGCAATGGCCGCCACAGTCAGTTCCTCGCCGGGGCCTTCCATGATGCCGTGCATCCTGCCACGCCTGCAAACAAACGGAACCATTATGAGACTCTGCGCGCGATCTGGGGTGGGGCCGATGGTGCCCACAGGGCCTATGCCAGGCGACGTAGGTGTTCCCGCCAGCACCCCGCGCCCCGCGGTCTTGTTCCAAACTGCACCGGCGGTCGCAGACCACGGGAAGGGGCGGGGAGGGGCGGCCTGGCCACCGGGACAAGGTTGGCCTGTGCAAGGTTCGCGTCGCGCTAGATCAGGGGATACGGGGGAGAGGGGAACAGCGGGCGGCACAGAGCGGGGCCGAGCAGCGAGTCGCTGTATGCGCACAAGGTCACCCTGGCCAAGGAGAAGCGCAGCGGGACAGGGTCGCTGCGCTGATCGGTAGCCTCGCGGGAGCCCGTCGGCCTCCCAGCCCGGGCCGAGCTCGCCAGCCCAGCCTAGCCTCGCTGGCGAGCGTCCTTTTGCTGGCGGCACCGCTGCGAGCGCCGCTGCGAGCGCATCCGAGTGCGCGTGGGATGCTCTTGGCCTTCCCCTCCGCGCCCGGCGGTCTCTGCCGTACGGCCTACAGGCCGCGGAGTGGGCGTGAAAACTGGAGAATCGCGGCATCGTTAAACCACCAATACCGGTTGTGATAAATCCACCGCACAGGCTGCGGCGTGACCCCGACGCCACACGCGACTCCGTCAGCTGGACAGAGGGACGCGCTCTGCATGGCGTGGAGCTGCCGGCGCGGCGCGCTCCTCTTTCTCGCGGAACTGCCCGGCCGCGGCGGCTCGGTCGCGGAATCAGACCGGCTCTGCTGATTCAGCGGCCAGTCACTGCCATCGACGCCACAACCACAGCAGCGGGCCTGGCCCGACACCACTCCCGAAGCACGCCGTGGTACGTACCCGTCCCGTCAGCGGGCGCGGGCACACCCGACCGGGCAGCAGCGGCGTCGCCAAGAGTGAGCGAGCGAGTGAGCGAGCGAGTGAGCGAGAAAGGTGTGGGGGGGGGGGGGGAGAAAGTGTGAGTGAGGAAATGGGATGGCGGGATCAAAGAAAGGGCCATGCAGCTGACACAAGTTCTGTTCGCCAAGAGAGTTTAGTTTTCCTAAGCTCTCTTGCGCCCCCTCAGCCTCTCGCGCAATGCCATAGGCTGATGCCAGGCAGGCCGGTTCAGGTTGCAGCCCAGCAGAGTGCTGATTGTGTGCCTCTCCCGGGGCGGGGCGGGGCGGAGGGAAGGAAAGACCTTATCAGGACGGCCATGCACGGCGAGGAGCGGGCCGCGGAGCCAAGGCGGGGCCAGTCAAGGTAAAGCCGTCTCCGGCCGGCCCAGGCCGCAGGCCGGCCACGCCATGGTCAGCGCGAGCCGCGCGAGCGGAGCGGACCGGGGCGGAAAAAGAGGAAGGAAAAGTCGCTTCTCACGGAAGAGGAGAGGAGGGCGCTGTGCTACGCTGTGCGCGGCGCTGCGGCGGGACGGACAGCATCGGATGAATGGGCGCGCGACACGCGGGGACCTGGCGGGGACCATCGCGGAGGTCCTCCTGGCCTGTCGCGCGCCGTCGCGTGGGAACGAGCGGGTCCTGCTCGCTTTGAACGTCAGTCTCGTGTGGGATGGCGGGTGCATATTTTTGGTACGCGGGGCGACAGCTCACCGGGCGCTGCCGGTGCGTGGCTCAGCTCGCGCCCCCCGGTGCAGCAAATGCTCCACTCCGCTGGGAATAGCGCGTGCGTCTTGCGCCTCGAGGTGGGGGGGGGGGGAGTCCCCCACACACGTGCGAATAATGCGGACGGAAGGGGAGCGGGGGCCGGCAGGCGGGGGGGGGGGGGGGGGGGAGTCCCCCACACACGTGCGAATAATGCGGACGGAAGGGGAGCGGGGGCCGGCAGGCCAAACGCGGACATGCAGGCACCGCACTCAGCCCCGAGAGGAAACGGTGCTAAAAGTGGTTCGGCAGAGCCCGGCTGAGCAGGGGCACTGGCTCGTGACCTCCCGACCCCCGGCGTGGCGCCGCGCCGCCGCAGCTGCCGGACGCACGGCCCGCGCCACCTTGGGCGCGGTCTCGGTGGCCTCGCCGCTGCGGAGCGGCACGATGCACCCGCCGTATTTAGCGCGGACTGAGCAGCGGGCGGGGCGGGTCGACCTTTGGTCGAGAAGACGTCTTTCTTCCAGTCAGTTTGACAGCGGAGAGCCCGACGCGGCAGAGTGGCGGTCCGGACGGCGGGTACATCCGGGCCCCTTGGACTTTCGTCTCGCCAGCAGCACCGGCCTGGCCAGTGGAAAGCGTTCGGAACACTCGGAGCCAAGACTAGCAGGGTTGAGGGTTGGGGAGGTGGAGCTGTATGGAGCTGCCGTGGTGGCCGGCCAGCCCTACCGCGCCACCAGCAAGCAGCACATCATGAACGGCATGGAACAGACTCAGGACACTTCGCGCACTCACCCATCCGAGCATGTCCTCGCCACCCGTTTTCGGCTGTGTACGCGCCGGGTGGGTCGGCGAGGTCGACCGGCGAGGACGCGGAGCCCGTGAGTCGGCCTTGACCTGGTCATGCGCGGTGCGGCGGTGGTGCGCTGCGGCGGCCCTGGTGGGCTGTGGTGGGCCCTGGTAGGCCATGGTGGGCCCGCACCAAGGCCACCCCGCCCCCCGTCCCGCCCTGCTTTGCACCATGTTTACGCATTCGCTCCAACGTGGCTGGGGCGGACCACTCCATAGGACGGTCGGCGTGGCGCGGCGCGGCCGCTGCGAGGCCAAATACGCATGACTAGACAGCGGGACAGCAGCAGCGGTGCAACCCAAGCACTATCGAGGGACGACCACCTCACATGGAGTTGGACGAGGCGGAGTCGGGGACCGTGATGCCCTTGGGGTGACCCCTGGCGTCAGCGGAGAGCGCCGCCGCCGCCCGCTCGCCCGCCGCGCCGTGGAACAGAACAGACTTTGAGTCCCCGGCTTTGCTGGGCTCGGTCTCCCGTGAGGCAGTCCCGCACGACCTTTAATACGGGCCCCGAAATTAAATAAGGTTTCAACGGGGCAGGCAGAGCGGAGGATAAAACACGCTCACCTGGGCTGGGGGCGGGAGCCAGCGGGAGCAGCTTCCAGCTCGGCTGCCAGCCACCACCGCACACCGCACCGACCCCACCCGAGGGAAGGCGACCGCTCTCCGGCCGGCGGGGCGGATGAGCTCGGGGGAGAGATAGGGGTCGCACCCGCGGGCGCCGCGACGCGGGCCGCTCCCCAAGGCTGCCGGGCTGGGGGCGCCAAACGACCCTGCGGTGTAATTAGCGCCGGCGCCGGCTGGGGGTACATGAGACTATACTGGACAGAGACTAGAAAACCTGAGACTGGACCTGAGAC